AAAGAAAAAAGGTACTCCCCATTGTTCCATGCAAACAACCATTTAAAAAGAACATCAAAAAAAAAAAACCCGCCAGGGAACGCGGCACATATTCTCCGTGAGAAGTCGCAACTCCGCACTCCGTGGCTCAGAACACTGCCACAACCACACACAGTCCCAAAAGCAGAAGCAGCAGTGGTGTGTCCGCCCACGAGGTGATAAGTTCGCCGCTGCTCACCGTCGGCAAGGACAAGTCACCTTCGAACCAGACGTCTCCACTCTCTTTGATTTTTTGTTTAAAGAAGATGTGGTCTGTGTGGCGCTGCTGCACGCACCGCTGTTTGTGGGCTCCTTAGCGGCGGGGGCGTGTGCTCGAGGACCATGGATACAGTCCCATCGCCCGTACACATCGGTGGTATTGGACGTCATGAGGTCATTACATTTTTTTCCTACTCTTACCAGCGCGTCTAGCTATACAATGCCATCTGAGTACCTAAGAGGTGGTCGAGCAACGACAAAAGTTTCCTGCTATGAAGCAACTGCCATTGAGAGAACTTTCCGAGGCGAAGGTCCTGTTCAATGCCCAGCCGTCGGCGCACAGCCAAGGTGCCTGGACATTCTAGAAGCAGATGGTGCAAGGTTTCCTGCGGGTCAATTGACGTGCTTGTGGAAGCTGGCTGATCCTGCGGCAGCAGAGATCGCCGCCTGGCACTGCTGTTTCGATGCCGTGTGGCGTCTGGGTTGTGTGCGCAGCGACTTCTGTGCTGTGCGGTGCTTCTCCGTGTGGGGAAAACCATGTCACAGAAATCACATTTGAGCTCGGGAAGCGGTGGAGGATGTTCCGGATGAAATGACCGACAGTGACTGACGAGATTCGAGAATCCCGTCAATGTAGAATCACAGTGCGGACATTTCTCCTTCCGACGGCTTGTGAGGGTCCGTCTCCTTACTGGAGGGACGTCTTCCTCCCTCGCCGACGGGGGAACGGTGTCCGTCCCCGGTGCAGTTGAATCGTTGTTAGAGCGCATATATGCAGACTGTTCCGGTGAGATGTTGCAGAAACGGCATTGGTTCGTGCAATCTCTCACGGCCCAGTATAGTCGGCCCCAGAGCTCAGATCCCCGCACCTTGGCCTTGCGAGGTGAACCAGTTCCTGACGGTGTAGAACTTCCTGAGTGATCAGGTCCTTACCGCCGGGATCGGATGGCCTTGTGCCGCAAAGCAAGTAGCGGTGAGTGTCTTGACGAATGGTACTACGCCACTTGTTGGTGAGCTGGGTAGTAAAACATGTCAGCAGATCCGTATGCCATAAAGGTGCGATTCCTTGCTCCGTGTATTGTCCACTTTCCATAGTCTGCGTCGCATACTGATCTGCAAGCTCGTTAGCATGTACTCCGCAATGTCCGTAACAAAACTGCAGGTGCACGGACCAGCCAGCACACGTCAGTGTCAGGAGACGCTGCCAGATCTGATCCTCCGTCCAGTCTGTCTGACTGAGCAGGCCCTTGTTTAGAGCCGCTAGAAGACACTGACTGTCCGTAACCACAAGCAGGGTTTTACGCCTGTGGCGGATACGAGGAATCATCAGCTTCTCTAGGGCTAGAAGCAGCGCACGGGATTCCGTCCTGTAGCTGCATGGATTTGCACCGCAGTTTATGCTGGCCTTTTCTATTATCTCCGATGAGTTGAGGAATGAAAGCAGTATTCCAACCCCTGCTGACTTGGGAACGTCGACACCGCCATCGGTCGCAAGTATCCACGAACGATGGCTGTGCAGCGCCAGAGCCTCTTCGCTGACTCCGCGCTTTTCCCGTATCAGCTCTTCCTCGTCAGTTATTGAGTGGTCTATCGGAATTTCCACGGCGATGGTGGCCCGGTGAGCGGAGGCCGCAAACCAGGGAGGAATGGAGCTGCGAAAGAACCGCTCTTCGCGTGGTGAGCTCTCGGTGATGCCATAGTCCTTTGTGTATGCGTCTACGAAGGCATATAGCTCGTTCCGAGATAATGGCGAGATGCGGAAACCAGCGCGAGGCGGTGGCTCAGGCGGGGGTCTCCGCATCCAGTCCATCTGACATGCGCGTGTGTTCTCAAATATGGAGAGCCGCGCGCGCAGGCAAAGGACGTGGAGCGGCGGCATATTAGCCTCCAGTAGTGCGGATTCCGGGTCGGCAGTGCTCGGAACTCCGCTGACAATGCGTGCTAGAGTTGCGTACGTCTTCTGCATCTCATTCTTCGCTGAATCCGTCGCTACTGCCCATATGAGCTCGCTGCCATAGCGTAATTTGGAGGCACCGTATCCAATGACGAACGTGCGTAGGTCATGTGGAGATGGTCCCGCCGCTTTGTGCGCTATGCAGCGTAGCTGCGATATCCGTTGCGAAGTGGCAGCGCATTGCTTGGTGGCCGCCACATTTAGCGTCAGTCGTGGATCGAGATCCATGCCGAGAAGCTTCGTAGTTCGCGATGCCCCCATGGTCATGACTGGGATTTGACATCCAGCCACTACCAGCGGCCACTTTCCTTCGCGATCATAATCGGACTCCGTGTGCGTGGAAAGTGTGGACCAAGCAGCTTCACACTTTGACGGTTTGATGGCCAGGCCATTTTCCTGACTCCACGCATGCAGCTTTTCAAGAACCATGCTGGCAGTGGGAATGGCGTCTTCCCGGGACTACCCCTTAACGATAATAGAGAGGTCGTCCGCATACATGTCTGCTGTGGCACCCGCAAAGCTGTTCAGCAGACTGAGAAGTGGGTGTACGTAAAGGGAGAACAAATACGGTCCCAGCACGGACCCCTGAGGAACTCCTCGCAGCATGGGACGCCGATCGCTGTGTCTGTGGCCAACTCGTGTCTTCGCGTAGCGACCACATAGAAAGTTTCTAAGCCACCCTCTACAATTCACCCCCGGAATGTTAGCCAGCAAGCGACTGAGGACTCGATGATCTATGGAGTCAAAGGCCTTGCTGAAGTCAACCAACACCAGCAGGGTCCGATGGGGTCTGTAGTGGAGTTGATTGCCAATACCGCTCTTCTTGGGAAGGCTCACTTGGAAATAGTGATTTCTATTATGCTCCACTTCGTGTGTCAGGTGTGCCAGCTGCATCGTCGTGGTACGCATGCTACGATATGCATACTGGTGGGGGTGTGGCGTCCACACCCAAAGCAATCTCTTCAGTACCATTTTCTCAGCAACCTTACTCACAATGGAAGTAAGGCTGATGGGTCGATATGACTCAAGCAGTTCCGGCGACTTGCCGGGTTTTAAGAGTGGAACGATGGTAGAGCGTCCCCACTCAGCCGGAATCGTACCGGTCGTCCAGCTGTGGTTAATGCAACGAAGAAGGAATCGGAGGCCCTTTGACGAAATATGTCGCAGTGCCTCACTGTAGACTTCATCCGGTCCGGGGGCCTTGCCATACGGCGTATTACGTAGCGCAGCAAGCAGTTCCGTAGAATTAAAAGGTGCATCAAGAGGGGAGTAAGAAAACCCTGATGTAAATGTAGAGATCAACTCGTTGTTGTTCTGTGGTCCAAAAAGAAGAAGCATTAATGTTCAAAGATGTGTTCTGTCTGTTGATGCCTTTGGAAGGCCTTACTGCCTTGTGAGAGGGGTGAAATGGAAGAAAGATGCGATTGAGAGCATTCGCTGCTCTCCTTGCTGTTTTATAAGTGTGTTGACCATCTCCCAATAAAATTGATGTGGGAGATGGAAGTGATGCCTTATTTCGTCCGGAAACGTATTTCCATGCGAATGGCTCGCCTGGATTTAACTTGCTGATGCGGCGTAGATACGTGTTGCGCAAACGCTCTCGGAGTAGGAGGAAGAATTGACTCCTTGTCCGTTGCATTTCTGCCTCACGGTCGGGCGTCGGTAACTGTAGATAGCGGGCCTTGCTGTCAGTAGCAATCCGCTCTGCCTCCATGAGAGTGTCGTCCCAAAGCCTGGGACCGTCCTTGTGCATGCCGCGGGGGCAGTGTCGTCGATACGAAGTTATAAGCGCTCTCGTGAAAGCTTTAATGCCGGTGGACTGCTTTTTATAGTCGTATGCCGGAAGTTGTGCGTCGAGGTCCTTGAAGAATAAATCCCACTTGCACTTCCCCCAACTGTAGAAAAACTTAGGTGCCGAAGGTATGGTATCCTTAAATGCCTGATGCAGCGTGAATGTCAGCATATAATGATCACTAAGCGGCGACACGGAGGCTGACCAATCCGACACAGTCAAATGCTTTGACCATGTCAGATCGATACAGGATCGTTCTCCTGCGCCACGGGCATACGTGATCTCACCAGGGGTGTTAACCAAGGTGAGTCCCGCATCCGTGCACAGTTCTAAACATTCTGCAGCAACCTCGCTTGGAGAAGTCTCCAAGAATGGCTCCCACTGTGGGTGATGCATGTTGAAATCCCCGCACAGCAGGAGCGGCGACGAGGCTGGAAGGCAGTTTACTAACCGCCTGAAGGATTGCGTTACTTGCGGTGGTGGTCTCATATAGGCACTCGCTACAATAAGATCACGGTTCTGGTCCAGAGCAACCTGGACCACCACCACTTCAAGGCTGGTGTCATGCTGGGGGATGGTGAGAGGTATACGCTTGGAGCGGAGAGTTTTCCGCACCAGCACCGCCACACCGCCTCCCTTGCCGATGCGCGACTGTGCATGGAGCACATAATCTCCAGTGTGCATGCTGGCGATCTGCTCCGACGACTTCCAAGTCTCCTGGATGGCTATTATGTCTGCTCCTTGCGCCATTAATGTTGCGAGTTTGACGGCGTGAGGCAAGAAACGTTCATCTGGAGTACTGCTATGGGGCCTGGGTGCTGCTCAATGTCTCCGCTTAGCAGTAGCTTTTGTCGTTGCGCGTCACATACGGCACGCAAACGGTATGCATAGCGCTGATAAGCGCCGATGGAATTCAGCAGTGGATGAAAATACCGCTCCGCGGACAACCATTACGAATGTCTCCATCTGGTGCCCTTCGAGGTCAGGATTCATATATTCCACCATTCCTCCGGAATTATTCGTGCCATCGTAATCCGAGCAGCTCCTCGCCGCAAAATCGCCAAATATCGCATTGAAAGCCTCCTCTTCCGTTAGATCTCGACTGTCTGGCTTATTACCAGTACGACACGCAGTCCGGCTGCTCTCGCCGACTGTGCGCCAGTACCCACGGGAATCTTTGCTTCCACACGCGCCATACCATCATCATCGTTTTTCGCGTACACGTGCGAGCAGCGGTAGTAGCAGCAGAAGCAGTAGTGTGGCTGTAGTCGGTGAGCAGATCTGCGCACAGAGCGAAGAATAGAAAGGCAAAAGGGAAATACAAAGAGGTGCAGCCAAAAGACACACACATCGTCGCAGCGTCGCCGTTGTGTGCGCGGTAATGATGCGACCTCCCGCGGCAGGCACAACTCGCACACTGCACGCACCGCAAAACGGCATCCGCACAAGAAACACGCACACATAACGACAGAACAGCCACCAAAAACTAGAAGGAGGAGAGAACCACAACCATCTCCCCCCGCTTGCACAACAAACGGACCTCCAATTTTTACGCGAGACAGTTTCTGCAAGCTTGCCATCGTTCCGCTGCACGCTCTCAGCGCCCACAGTGGGAGTCAGCACATCGTACAGGTGAAAAACGAAACTTCTCTCACTCCCGTCGGGAAAAACAAAATTACCGTGACGACAACAACAACGGTGCAAGGGTGTCGCATCGGATGATACGATGGCGTTGTTGGCGTCCAGGTAAATGACGCGTACCCTCGGAAATACGCGTGGAAGATACTGCACGTACGACTGCAGAGTTGCGTCCGCAGATAAACGGCATTCGGAGCCAAGTCTGCCACTCGGTGGCAAAGATGGGTCAATAATTTCGCCAGAGAGACAACAGTGCAGAAGGCAGGGTAGAGCAACGTACCGCACACAGGACACAAATATTTGTTTGTCTCATCCCTGGAAAAGTACAACCAACTTGGCCAGGGTTATCTCGCTCTCTGGCGATGGCACATTAAAAGGAAAACTCACAGTATTGAGGGAACTCAAAAAAAGCCCCAACGTGCTTGCCGCGATTCCACGAGAATGTGGACGGTCTGCATGTGTCCATGCAAGTCACAGCCGATAGGCGCATCATAGGGGATACTGCTTGAGTGCGCCAAACGACGGTTACTTGCCTCATGCCACATCACAGGCAGGCCGTCCCTCATCAATTCCTGCAGGATTCGCCTACGCTCCTCCAAGGAGTACTGGGGCATCCGTTGGGCCGCACGCGTATTGCACCATCTTCCACAAAGAGTCTATTCACCAAAAGGCCGCGGTTAAACAGCCCGTCCACAATAATCCTCAAAGGACCGCCACCCACCGCGTGCTGAGGTGGAAAACGCACGTGACGAATACGTCTCCGGTAGGTTTCATCGTGAATACACAACCGCTATTCCCTCCGTCACGGCGTCGTCATCAACACAGCAGCAACGCGCCAGTGCCGGCTCTGTTGGGTACAATGGGAGAGAAACTACCACTCTCCAAGCCATGATGTCAACAAGAGAGTCAGACGGCTGCTCTGCCACGGTGATAACGTGCCCCATCAGGCGCAGCAGAATATCAGAGTCCAGCTGATTGGAAGGCTCGGCTGTCACCCCGCCAATGAGAGAAATGCGCGCCACCACGCGATGCTCCGCTGGCAGTAAGCCTCCATATTGTGTTCCCTCAGTAACGGACTCTGCGTCAGCAGCAAGTGAGGCAAACTTCGGTTTGCTCCGCCTGATATTCCCCCGGCATCTGCTCAATTCACCGCCATGGAAAACCGGCGATGTGCAGCTGCGAGCATTTGATCGTTTCAGCAAACAAATTGGGGAAAAAGGGCTCAAGCACAACCACAAGACTCCCAGCAAGAAAAAAGGAAACACGGCGTGACTGACACGACTCAAAGAAAAGTTTCTAAGACAATGCGTGGATGACTCCGTCGACGCCACACCCGCACCATATGCCATCAACGCCTCCACGGCAATAATCCTGCAGCGTGCGGAGAGGACGTTTCACGAGCGCATTATTGGCGGAGCCAAACAACTGTACCGTCAGCAGAGGGCAGTGGTCGGCGGGGGAAGTGAAGGTGGTGGGACTGTTGGGGAGGGTCGATGCGCAGTGTTCCCCACAAATACGAGGCGGGTGAAGTGAAACACACTCGTCTGAAAGTCACCGGCCACCAAGATGCATGGCTCCCTGCTGTTAATATTGATGAGCTCGAGGCTGGGGCAACTACTCGCAACGCGTGAAAGTGTCTTCCTGCACTGACGCTGCGATTCACACTAGACGGGCAACTTCAGAACAGTCGATCCCCAGCAGTAAAATGCAGCTGGCAGTGACGCTGTGGATTCTCGATTCCCCCGGCAACGGAGGGAGAAGAAAACTGGTCTCCCCAGCTGCGCGGCATCCATCCACTCACTCTGTGCGTCTGGAGTGCCCCGCAGCTGCCTTGAGAGATGCAGCGGACAGACCCCCCTTAGTTTCGCCTCGATCCGTCGACGAAGACTTTCGCGGAGGTGTCGGCACACACCGAAGTCTCCCTCGTGCTCGTCAAACAAAAGACACCCGCTGAGCATCGTCACGTGCATCGACGGCCACGCAAATAAATACCCACCGCAACGCAAAGTGTTTCTTATTGGGCACAAAAAGAAAACTCGAGGCAGCGGCCCGGACAACACAGACATTAAATCACACGCCAGGCAACGCTGAAATACATGCGAAAGGGCCAACGCGGGATCAGCAGCACAACAACTCGAGAGCTGCTGCGTGAACTCCACGGTAAATGGATCAGCCCCAACGCATGGGGCACTAATTACGACGGGTGACAGCGCGAAAGCCAACGGTTCCGCAAGACCGGGAATTGTGGGGACGGCAGCCAAACCCTCCTGGGATTCGTGTGCCAAGACACGCAGATAATCCGCCCCTCGGTGCAAGTCGTCACCATAATCCTCATCGCTCTCTTTGCCGTCATTCGTATTGTCACACTCAGAGCCGGTGAAGGAAGGTGCTGCCATGATGATTGTGACATCACCCTGAATGAAACAAAACAAAGCCTCAAAGGGTGCCGAGTGCAGGCATCCCGTCAGGCAGCGACACGCCGCACTTCTTAGCAATGTACGAAGCAAAGGCAACGAAACAGGTTTCATCCGCCATCGTAATCGCGTCCAGCAGGTTCGCCCTCTTGTTCCTCGGCGCCTCGTTCCTCTCCGCAGCACCAACAGCCGCTGCCGTAGACCACGCTCCTGCCGCACTCACTCCCACAGAGGGACAAGGAAGAGTGTGTGGATGTGTGCCGAGAGCACAGCAACTGTCATCATCAGAGGAGGCCATCGTGCAGCGTCATCATTTCAGCACGGAACGTCAGCCAACGTCCCTCGTTACCAAAAACATTCTTGCAGAGCACTGCGCAAATACTTATGTGTGTGGGTGTCTGTTGGAGAAGCCGAAAAAAATAGGAGCACAGGGCGACACATCAACACAGCAGGAGGCACAGCCGGATGACAGCGATGCATGCGGTACGGAACCAACCTCAACAATCACACACGGTGGCAGCAAACACCCATCCTCACAAAGAAAACAAAACGAAAAGAAAAAAAAATCTTTAAAACACGGCGGCAGGGTGTGGCTGTGTGTGTGGCGCTGCGGGTGTCTGCCAGCCCTGGCCGCAAGCAAACCAAAACAAGAGGGAAGAAATGTGTGCTCCGCCCCACAGGCCCTCGTCGCACGCCCACACGTCACGGCTCCCTCAGCGCGCCGTTCGTCGCGGCCCTCCTCATGCGTGCAGCAGGCGAGGCGCACAGGGCCGTCGTCGTGAGCGTGTCGGTGGGTGTGCAAGCGGAGCAGTTGGGCGGGAAACACACGGCACCCCTCACAGGAAGAGTGCAGCAACAAACAATTAAAAAGAGGGAAGAGTAGAAAAGAAAAACGTCCATAGTGATTGCCCCAAAAAGCAAAAAAAAGAGATGGGGGAAGTGAGAGAAAAACGCACAGCAAAGCAAACACAAAAAGCAAAAGAAAAAAAAATCGCTCAACCAGAAAAAACAAGAAAAAACATTTAAAATATTTTAAAGCAAACAGCAAAAGAAAAATTAAAAACAATTAAAACAATCATACGAGAACAAAAAACAGAAACAGTTACGGTGCTCCGCCCATGCAGCCAGGCAGGACGGCAGCGGTGCGTGTCGTGCAAAAGAGAGCAGCAACGGCCTGCATGGGTGTGCATGCATATATACAATGGGCACATTATTGTGTGTGCCTCGTGGGGTGAGGTGAGGGCGAGAGTCCATGCAAGGGGACACACACACACAGAGAGTGAGAGAGTGTGTGTGCGGGCGGTGCATGGCTCTCTCTCCCTCACTCTCACGCGGCCACCACCGCAGCAGCAGCCGCACACGCAACAACAAGAAGAAGCAAAAGAGGGGAGGTGGTGTGGGAGGCCGTGGTGCTGCTGTCACTGTCGCCAGTCGTTGCCGTTGTATTTTTCATGGCTGCGGCCGTCACTGGTGTTTCTTTCGGATTGGCATCTTTATTTTCATTTTGTTTTCCCTCTGCTGTCCCTGCACCATCAGCTGCTGGGTCATCGTCTCCAGTTGTTTGTGTGCTGTTGGTATTTGTTATATTCGATGCTCTTGCCGCACCAGAAGATATAATTGGCGGCTCTTCATTGCCTGCTGAGATCACCTCTGTGGTGCTGGTATCGGCTCCTTTCATTGTCTCCTCCTTTCCTTTCGTACCATCCTCTTCCTTTTCCTCTCTCTCTTCTTCTTCCTCTCCCTCTTCGTCTCCTTCCACTTCTTCGTCTTCCTTCTCTTTGTTTCTATCATCCTTCTCTTCATTCGCACCATTTTCTTCCACTTGTTTCTTTTCATCGTCTGTATTTTGAACCATGCTGTCCTTTCCTTTTTCTGTTTGGTTTTTCTTCTCTGCGTCTGCCGTTTCTGGTGCTTGTGTTCCAGTTCGTAGTGCCGCTCCCACTTCGTTTGCTCCTTGCACCGATACTCCTGCTGGTTGTGACTGTGCCGATTGACCGTTTTTGCCACCTCCGCCAGCGCCACCGCTGGAATCGTTGTCGGTTTTAGGACCATTCTCATTAACGGACGTAATGTCTTGAGAAACTTGCGTTGGTTCAGAACATCCACCACCGCCCGCACCGCACCACAACACGCAGAGGGCACACACCAGCAGCACACGGCCAGTCATCATCATCATCATCACGGCTGCACACACAGTCTAGGGAGGGACAAAGAGAGGAGGATGAGAAGAGCACACACACATCAGCAGCATGGAAAAGAAGGAGTAGCGTTTGCATGAGGGTTGTTGTCATGAGCATGGGGGACGCGTGCACGCAGGAAGAACAGGCAACAATGAAACACCGGACAGCACGGCACACAACTCCACGGCATGTAAAACCCACCCGCAGCTGCCCCAGAATGGAAGGGAAAGAGGGCGCAACAGTACGGCAAGAACACAGTGATGCCGGTGCAGAAAAGGATCCCAAAACGGCGTGAAAAAGAAACAAAAAACAGTCTTCCCCCACAGCGGCCACATCCAACAACGAAAGCAATAATAACAGAAACAAACACCACACACGGCAACTCACAGCGGCAGTGAGTTCCCTGTCGCCAATCTTCATGGCTGCACGCTACCGCACTCCTCGTGAGTCCATCGCTCCGCTGCCCTCCTCCTCCCCGCGGCTCCCCCCACGAACAGCCACGGCACACAATCGGGTCCATCCGCACCCGTCGCCACGCCGCCCTCAACGACCCAACAGTCAACCGCCCAAAAACCGTTGCTGAAATCACACACCCGCAACAAAGCACGCGACGCAACATCGTCTCACGTGGACCCCGCCGTCAGAAGAACGTCATGTCAACCGTTTGGCCGGCACACGGTACAATCAATCAACAGAACAGAGAAGTAAGACAGGCACTCAATCAAGGACGCTCCACGCACACAGCCCTTTTGATGCCGCCGCTGCTGCCACGGGCACGGTACCCGAGCGGAGAATGACATGCAGTAAAAAAGGCCTCGCAAGAGAGAAACAATCCACACGTCCATATGCAAAGCGCCACTCGTACTGCTGCAGCTGCAGGGTCTGTGGGCAAAAATGCGCCGTACTCAATCCCGCCAGTTATGTCAGTCTCCCCTCCCACCAATGTAGCGCATAATGCACGGCGTGCGTCCACAGGCATCCACTCCCGGTGCCCTAGCAACACTTCAGAACACACATAATGGAGAAGGGAAGTATCATTACACAATGCCAAAGCAGGCAAATAAAAATAGGGAAATCAAAACCACACAGATCCCTCGCACACGCACACAAACACAGCACAGTATTCTCCAGAAGAAGTCAAACAATTTCTGATCCCAACCCATAATGCACGCGTGGTGCCGCCACATTAGCAACCGGCAAAAGAGGGAGAGTGCATACAGCATGTCCCTGGTACAAAGTATACAGACAAGCAGAGTGTATGTATATACTGATAGGAACATGCCAGTTGATATAGGCCTTTCTCTCTTGCACCCACTGCTGAGTGTTGGCACCGCGGCGGCAGCGGCAAGCAGAAGAAGCAGCGGAAAGGGACAAGCAGCAGCCGCAGTGTTATTGCCGTGGATCGGAGGCGGGGCGTCCTTCATGTCTGCCTCCTAACCCCGTGCACCACCGCCGCTTCATCCTCCCTCGGCGGAGGGTCCACGGCGCCCTGCGCGTCATCAGCGGCATCAGGGCTCCTGGGTCCCGTGGCTGTGGCACCGCCACCGGCCTTGTCGCTGGCGGCCTCATCTCCTAATGATTGTCCGACAACAGACGCCACACCATCGGCGGCCACATCGTCGCTGTCCGGAAGATCGCGCTTCTTCTCCGCCTCCTGCGGTGCACCCGCGGTGTCGCTGGGCAAGAGCACTCCGTTGCCGTCGTGGCACCTGAGGCGACTTCCTTCTCTGGCGACGGATGCTTCTGGGGAGCAGCCGTGTCCACATAATTCGGTGGTGTGCCACGGCCGGTCCCAATGCTCTCTGGATCGGGGACGGATGCCCGTGGCAAAGCTTGTTCAGTAGATGCCAGTGGAACCGTCCTGCTCCACACCCTCTCACATTGCCACCGCACGAAACCACTGGAAGTAGGCTGTCGCTGGTGACGGATATCGTGCACACCTGCGCGTGGTCACGGAAAATAGCTTTTCCCTCATCGTAGGGCGGAGCAACCCACGTAATCGTCGCCTCGGCCGTGCATGGGGCACAGCGGGCGTTACCCTCCTCAGTCACTCTCAGACGCACCCGCATGCCGAGGCACCGCAATGCCGCATGCATGACAGCACGGAGACGTATGTTTCTTCCGGGTCCCTCGCATCCGTCGTGTTGGTGGGAGGCGTGTCCAGACACCACGAAGAGGGCTTGTCCCCAGGCACCGCAGACAAACATTCTCCCCTCCAAATAACAGCGGCAGCATATCTCACATCCAGTGCGGGACCAATGATGGGGCAACTGTCCATCGGGCGTTTTGCTGGCCCTTCATGGATAATTCGTCTACACACCAACCACTCGAATACCGATCCAACGCGCAGCGACTGGCATGAACTCCCGCTTTTGAGAACATCTGGGAATATTCACTCATGTTCGGTGCGGAGCACTTCCTCTGCAGCAGCGCACAGCACGAATTCCTTCACCAGCGCATCGGCTCCGCCATCTCCCACTTCACCCTCATGCAGCCCAGGTCAGCCGGTGCGGCCAGCGTCAACTCCGTGCGGCAGCCGGCACAACCAATCGGTGCCATCCACTCATCCTTCGCGTGGCGCTATGACCAGTGCGACTCCAGCGTCCTCCCGTCACCATCGCCATCCTGCAGCTCCATGCCATCAATGTCGTCGCAGTCGCGGTGCTTACTCGCAGCCATCACGGCAGTCGTCGAGTGCCCACACACCACCGACAGCGCTCAGCCACACACACACCATGTCAGCATTGGCAACACCAGTGGAACAATGCCCAGCATGCACCGTGAACCGAATGCAAACGCTGCCGTTGGCAAATGGGGGCACAATCAAAGGACCCTCCAGTGGCTGCACGAGCAGACGATCCGCATGCAGTTTGAAAGCAGCAGGGACAACTTCATCCTCGAAAATCTTCCCGTGCGCAGAGGATACAACGTCATCCTCACACTCGCAATTGCCATTCAATGAATTCATTGCGCAGTACCGCTCTGAGATCCAATGCTTCCTGATATCATCCAGGTCCCTTGTGGATACGTTGATGCGGATGGGCATCCATCCCTCCCAATGATGGTGTATGGCTGCAGCGCACCAACTGCTCAAAAAGGGTGCGTCCCTCACAACAACGCGGATCCAATTCGCCCTGTCGGCACGCATCACATATTCAACAAATCAAGGGTACGTCAAAGTGACAGCAAAGCACCCGCTGGCAATCACACCATACACATCATCACATGCAGCAGCACCAGCGTCTCAAACTAATGTGGGGTGTAGAGCAAGTAAGCCATTGATGTGGGTGTTAGGCAAATATTTCGTGGCTCGCTGAAGCAACAAGGACCGATTGCGTGGGAAGAAACAAAGAACAGGAGAATACAAAAAGGGGAAATTCATCCATCCGCACTGTAGGAAGAAAACCAATCAATAAAAGTAAAATGGGTGCACCCAACCACAACGTACGCAAAGATTCAAAACAAAAAAAAAGAACAACGCGTGGGACGACCAGCGCACACACACTCTCATTACTCCCGTAAAGCAAAACACACACAGAGGGAGAGAGAGAGAGGTCGACCACTCAATGCAATAAAAACAAAACAGAAACAGTTACGGTGCTCCGTCCATGCAGCCAGGCAGAACGGCAGCGGTGCGTGTCGTGCAGAAGAGAGCACCAACGGGCCTGCATGGGTGTGCATGCATATATACAATGGGCACATTATTGTGTGTGCCTCGTGGGGTGAGGTGAGGGCGAGAGTCCATGCAAGGGGACACACACACAGAGAGAGAAGGACGCGTGTGTGTGCGGGCGGTGTGCGGCTCTCTCTCCCTCACTCTCACGCGGCCACCACCGCAGCCGCACAAGCAACAAGAAGAAGAAGCAAAAGAGGGGAGGTGGTGTGGGAGACCGCGGTGCTGCTGTCACTGTCGTCCGTAATTGCAGTTGCATTTGTGCCAATGCAGTTTTGTCTTTCGCGGATTCTTCGCCATTTCCGCGGGATGTTCATGTCTGGCGGACTTCTTCTGTTGATGACTTTTGAGTGGTTTCAGCATTTTTTTGAGCCTTCGCGTCTTCGTCTTCCGCCACAGAAGTGGCAGCACCATTAGCACCTACAGAAGCGTATGGTGATGTGGGGTCTTTAAGTACTTTTGTTGTATTGTGCATGACAATTAAAAAGACGTTTCTTTTCATTCGCTCGTTTAAGGCGGCGGCGAGCTCCTCCCGTTGTAGCTCCCGTAGCTGTGCGGGAGCCTGCAACCTTTTCGTTGCCCGTGGCCCAGTGAGTGAGGCAGGCAGTGCACTTTGTCTTATTCGTGTTATTGCTGTTGTTGTCACTGTTGCAATTCTTGTCCATCGTGTCCTTGCTGCGGTTGTTTCTTCCACTTCTTCATGTTCTCCGTCTTGTTCCGCCTCCCCATTCCATCACTGCAAGGATTATCGCAATAATTTGTTTTCCTTCCTCTCGGTGTGTCATTGCGCCATTCATTCCGGCTGGGTATTATCCTCGGAAGGGGCTCTCCCCCAGCCGGTGGAGTGGCAGTGCTGCCGGAATAAGAAGAAAATTGACCGGCGGTGCGAAATCGAAACTCATTTGCCGCACCTCTCGTAGGATCCCCGGTATTTATTGCATTTCCATTTGGCTTAAATGCATTGTACTCCTTCTTATATTCATCCGCCTCTGATACTCCAGCGTCCAGCGAGGGTGCTGCTGCACCTGCGGCACCTTTTCCTTCGGCACCAGACGCTGACTCCTCGGAATTCTCCGCTGAGGATGTGTCATTCATCGCATCATCGTCGTCCGCAGCTTCAACAGCTCTCATTAGTCCAATTCAGGTGGATAATAACCCGCATTCCGCCTTTAGAGACACTCCGTCACCTCCACCATTATTCGTCCGCGTCAACACATCTCCTCCACCCTCACTGCAGTAATCCTCCATCGCGTGTCCAAAACCGGCACCGCACCACAGCACGCAGAGGGCACACACCAGCAGCACACGGCCAGTCATCATCATCGCCACCACTCCTGTCACTTGCGGGTAGCCTTCAGCAAAAGTAACACCACGTCAACAGAGAGAAAAGCAAAAAGATAGACACGGCCGCTACACCACGCACAGCAACAAATGGCAGCACCCCAGCAGCAGCGCACACACCACGGGACAGATGGAATCAGTACGATTGCAGAGCTCGCACACCGCACCGCAAACCACAAGTTTAAAAAGCAATAAAAAACAATAATTAAAAAACAATTATTAAAAGAAAAGAAAAACAAACAAACCCAGGGCTCCAGTGCGCATGCATGTGAGTGTGTTCGCGATGCGTTCAACGTGACGGATGCGGGGCACAACGCGGAGCACACAGCACGGCAGCAGAAGCAAGTGAAGCAAAACAAGATCATTATTTTCTCTTATTTTATACAGTGAACCACAACACACGCGCACAAATCCCCGCGGTTGAGTGCTGGCACGCACAGCCCGCACACACCTCTTCAGCCCACAGCGGTGTACGCCAGCGCGGATACGGCGAGCAGCAGCGGGGCACACACCCACGCAGAGCTGCTGAGGCTGCCGTCGATTTCGCGAAGACGTGACGGTGCGCGGGTGGTCGTCGTAGTTGGTGCCTCAGTAGTCGTAGTGCTTGGTGCCTGTGTTGTAGTGGTCGTAGTTGGTGCATTTGCCTTTTGAACTTGTTGGACTGGGTTAGCGGATCCACTTGGCTGCTGTTCTGTAATAGGCTCCGGAGATGTTGAATCGGGACTCGTTGACGGAGGTGATCCCGTACCTTTCCCTTTTCCGGTATCGGTCGTCGTGCCTAAATTCGGTTCCTTACCGTCCGGCTTGTTTGACCCTACCGCCTCCTTTTCACCTGGATTTTGTGCAGTACCGTTCCCGGAACTTAATCCTTGTGACGTTTGGCTCCCACTTCCTGTGTTTTCTTTACTGGACGTACTTCGCGACCATGTCCCACCGGGCCCCGTAATTTGTGCCTGTTCCTGTACCGTTTTGGCCAGGTCTGCTACCGATTGCAAACCAGACGTACCATGTGGCTGTTCCGCATCGTTCTCCAGAGTCGCTGGACCACCGGCCCCCTGAACATTTGACCCTACCGTGACGGTCGGAACCGGAATTCCTGACGTATCGGGCACTCCACCTGTCCCTATTGCGGTATCGCTCCTAGTTTCTGATGCTTGTCCCTTATCGTCCGAATTATGGGTTCCCGGTAACGTAACGGTCATACCTGCTAAACTTGACGTCACGGAAGTTTTTGTTGCCTCTGGAACACCTGCTTCCTGTGGCAAAGCACGCGGTAAATTGGAGCTGTCATTATCTGGTTCTTCACCTGTCGCTGTCACGCACACGGACGGGCAGCAACACAGGGCAAGCACCAACAGGGCGCACAGCAGACGGCACGTCATCATCAACGTGAGTGTGGTCGTTCAGTGGTGTGGAGCTGATCTGCTCAGTGAGGGAAATGGAGAGCAACAGGGGAGACGAGAGGTGCAGCAGACACACACAGAGGGCACACCACATGAGGAGAGGGCAGCAGCCAGGCATGCACCGTACGCCGCACACACATCCCTGCCGCAACACCAACACACAGATGGAGGAGGGAGAAGCAAACAGGAGCGGCACACAAGGCTCCACCGCATGCACACACGGCGAGAGCGGTCCGTCGTGTCGGCACCCCTCACGGAGGGTGCGCACACACACAAGAGGAGGTGCAGCGCACAAAGCAGCAAAAAAGTAAATCAATAATAAAAAGGAGATCCCCGCACACCAGGCGGACTGTTGGTCCAGGGGAACTGCAGCCAATATTCATCACAAAACAAATTTTTATCGTGTTTTGGTTGTATGCTGTTACAATAACGAGTGAGTAGCGCAATGGCCATCAGCGAAAAAGTGGCAAGCATGCCGTCCGAAACGAGCCATAGTGCGGGCTGGGGCACTCCAAAACACTCGCATTCCCAGTTCCCAACGACGGGGGCATTTCTGCAGTGGATGAAGCGGAGTCTCCCGTGATCCGTCGTGGGATCAGCAGCACGTGGCGTCTGTGATGAGGCGGTGGCGGAAGAGCCTGGTCCATCTCGAGTACCCGCATTTGTGCTTCCTGAGTGTTTTGCCTGCTGGCATGCTTGGCACTTTCTGTGGCGACCTGTGCGCGAGGCGCCTGTTAAGATGAAGGTGGCGCCATTGCGGCATCCACATGTGAGGCCTTCTCAAACTATCGGAACGCCAGGCTGAGCACGTCGGACGTGCGCACTCATATTGTGGACGGACGAGCGCACACTGCTGCAGGTTGGGCAGGAGGACGTCAATCCGCCGCTCGCTGGTCGGCAAGGAGTTGCGGTGCTCACGTCGGGAAGAGGTTCTGGCGGAGGCAGCGGAGGGCCGGTCACTCAGTGAGGGAGGAACGGCACCACCGACACAGAGGGTTACTTGTGATACGAAGGGCACGCGCAGGCATGTCAAAGAGTGGGCAGGTGTCGCATCGCGCCTGTGCGCAGTGCCGCCACTCGGGGCACGATGTCCGGGTCGTGCCAGGAATAGAGTCCTCGCCACACCGACAGGCGCCTGTCATGCGGTGTGCGCGCCCTCCTTTCCTCCTGGGCTTCCCTCCGATTCCTTCGCTTCACTGCAGTGAGGAAGCCCACGTGCCAAGCATTGACGCGGTCCTGCGGGAGGGATCGAGTCACGACGGCATCAGCGTCCGCTGTCACGCTGCGTGGGATTCCGCAGTGCCATGGTGAAAATACGGAGCCAACAGTGTGACCTCGATCGGCCAGTGAAAGCGGCATCATGCTAATCTCTTCGGTGATGCCGTCGTGCACCGCCAGCGGGAAAAGGCGGGGTGACTCCATCGCCGAAGGGTGTCTGTGGCAACCGAAACTCATGTGGGCGATTGGGATGCTGCTGCCATGCGGGGAACTGAAAACTTTCTGTGCCCATGCTCAGTGGCAGGACACTCCGCTCGGCAGGAGCACGCAAGACTGCCGGCAGCTGCGCGGTGAGGCCCCACAGGCAGCGCGGCTGTCCGGGGAGTAAAGTGGCGGCGCAGCGGATCCAGATGCACGCTCAGCGAGAGACGACAAACCGTCCACCGCCAACACAGTTGCCAGCGACTAACAAGACGTTGAGCACTAATAGGACACGTATGCCCGCACTGCCGTGGGCACGGACAGCGAACCCGATTCACTCAGCAACAGTGATCTAATGCCCTTGGATGGTACAACAGCCACGCCTGAGCCCAGCACAGTCCTAGCGAATGTTGAACGAGTGATAACGTGTCGGGTGGCGGTGATGCCGCACAGGATTATTTGCGCACAAAGTCTGAGAAACTAGAGATCCCATCGGAGCACGACGCAGCATCACTTGTGAGCAACATTTTTTGTGAGCACGGGCACTTCACGGATTTGTTGACCATGGCTGAAATTGGTGACATCGCCGTGCATGGGTGTGTGTCTCGGGTGATGTTGCTTCTGCTTCTGGGGCTGTGAGGCACTGCGGCGCTCTGCTGAGGTGTGAGGGAGGGTGGAACTGCGGCTTTTTGTGGAGCAATAACTGTGCAGCTTGCTAGCACTACCCACTGAGTTTTGTCAATAATTTAAGCCTTTTTATTTTATTTTATTATTTATTTTTGCTACCTTTGCCCTATTGGAATAATCAGCATCCCTGTGTTTTCCCCCAATGCTCGTTTGCTGTACTTTGTCATGAGTGACGTGCTTCTCCTTTTGTTTCCTTCCGTTGCCCACACGCGGTGCCGGCGTCATTGCTGTGCGTCCCACGGACTGCACAAGAGGAGGATTGGAGGAACAGGCCGGATGCCGCAATGAAGTGTGAGGAATGTTGTGTGGGCTCACAGAACAGCAAGATCTTGGTTTGATTTATTCAATCCAGGCATTACGTATACACAAACCAGTGTTCTTTTACATTGTGCTGCTTGGCAAATACAATAAAAGTCGTGCCTGATTGTTTCTCATTTTTTTTTTTTTTTGGAGCCTTGCCGGAATCTCGACTCTGTTGTTGTTATTTTTTACTGTATTTTTAACTACTGGTTTGCAGAGCCTTGTGTGAGTTCTGCACTTGTACTGATTCCAACTGCCTCGTGGTGTGTGCATTGTCATTTGTCACTCTGTGGTGACTGTGTGTGGTGTAGCGGCCGTGTCTCTCCTTTTGCTTTCACTCTGCGTTGACGTGTTGTTATTTTGTGCTGAAGGCTACCCGCAGGTGACAGGAGTGATGGCGATGATGATGGCTGGCCGTGTGCTGCTGGTGTGTGCCCTCTGCGTGCTGTGCTGCGGTGCTGTTTTTGGACACGCGATGGAGGATTACTGCGGTGAGGGTGGAGGGAACGGTTTGAGGCACACGAGTAATGGTGGAGATGACGGCGTGTCTCCAAAGGCGGACTGCGGGCTGTTATCCACTCGAATGGCATTAATAAAGGCGGTTGAGGCTGCGGAAGCTGGAGAAGAATCGAGTGGTGTTCCAGACCAGCCTCAGGATAAGTCGGAGTCATCACCTAATAATAAATTGGGCAATAATATGCAGTCCACTGGAGTGCCTGGTTCAGGAGGTAGTGTCGCAGGTCAAGCACCACTGGGGTCAGGAGGCTCAGATACAGGAGGACAGGAGAGGGGATCAAACGTGTTGGGCCCAAATGAAGAAAAGGAAGCAGGTAGGATGGACCAAAAGGACGGTAAGGGAACTGGGCCCCACAACGAAGGTGCTGAACAATCCTCTTCTTCATCTGGCAGCCCTGCCCCTCAAAGTGGTGAAGATCACAAATTGGAGAATACTTCCGAGAGTAATGAATCCTCCGATATCCAACTGAAGAAAGAAGATGCAGTTGAAGCGGAAATACCAAAAATATCAGAAAAAGAAGAACCTGGTGGAGGGAAAGAAAACGAAAATGGTAAGGCACTCACAGGGATACCTGACAGTCAAACGAAAATGAAAGAAACTAAAACAGTAACACCACCGCCACTACTGACAAAAACAGCAGAAGAGGCACGGATAACAATTGGAATTCCAGCGGGGGATTCAACACCAGCAGAAACGAACGGTCATTCCAAACCTGAAGATACCGTGAACATGCAACAGCTACAACAACCCCAAGACGGCATTGAGTCAAACAACAATTCACAGACAAACAGCGGTACCGAAATATCAGCCAATCAACAGAATGAACCATCTGCCGACCAAGCAGAATCCACGCCACTACCCACGGCAAACGGTGATGCCGCCAATAATAAAGCTGAAAAGAGCACTGAAGAGGGCATGCCAAACAATGGCCCAGCAGCCGATGGTGCAGAGACACGAGAAGAAAAACAAGATGAAAATAAAGAAGCCAATCCGAAGGAAACACCAGTCGAAGCCACAGCCATGAAAACTACGACGGCGACGACTGGCGACAGTGACGGCAGCACCGCGGTCTCGCACACCACCTCCCCTCTTTTGCTTCTTCTTCTTGTTGCTTGTGCGGCTGCGGTGGTGGCCGCGTGAGAGTGAGGGAGAGAGAGCCGTGCACCGCCCGCACACACACTCGTCCTTCTCTCTCTGTGTGTGTGTCCCCTTGCATGGACTCTCGCCCTCACCTCACCCCACGAGGCACACACAATAATGTGCCCATTGTATATATGCATGCACACCCATGCAGGCCCGTTGGTGCTCTCTTTTGCACGACACGCACCGCTGCCGTCCTGCCTGGCTGCATGGGCGGAGCACCGTAACTGTTTTTTTTTCTCCGCTTACGATTGTTTTAATTGTTTTTAATTTTTCTTTGCTGTTTGCTTTAAAATATTTTAAATGGTTTTTTCTCTAGTTGTGTGATTTTTTTCTTAATTTTTTTTCTTTTCTTTTTTGTGTTTGTTTTTACTTTTTATTTTTCTTTTCTCTCGTTTCATTCATTCCCTTTTTTTTTTGCTTTTGGGGGCAATCACTATGGACGTGTTTTCTTTTCTACTCTTCCCTCTTTAATTGTTTGTTGCTGCACTCTTCCTGTGAGGGGTGCCGTGTGTTTCCCGCCCAACTGCTCCACTCGCACACCACCGACACGCTCATGACGACGGCCCTGTGCGCCTCGCCTGCTGCACGCATGAGGAGGGGCCGCGACGAACGGCGCGCTGAGGGAGCCGTGACGTGTGGGCGTGCGACGAGGGCCTGTGGGGCGGAGCACACATTTCTTCCCTCCTGTTTTGTTTTCTTTGCGGTCAGGGCTGGCAGACACCCGCAGCGCCACACACACAGCCACACCCTGCCGCCGTGTTTTTCTTTAAGGATTTGTTTTGTTTTTTTGCTTTTGTATTTGTTGCCATCGTGTGTGGTTGTTGATGTCGGGACCGTACCGCATTTGTCGCTGCTCTCCAGTTGTGCCTGTTGCTCTGTTGATGTGCCTCCCTGTGCTCCTCTTCTCTTCTGCTCCTCCAGCACACCCACACACACTTAGTTGCACGGTGCTCTGCAGGAATGTCTTGGTGACGGCGGGACGTTGGCCTGCATCCCGTGCTGGCATAGTATGGTCGCTGCGTGTCTACCGTTGGCGGTGGGAATCACGGTGTCATTGGATGGATGCGTGTGGTACGCTTTTGAATTGTGCTGGAGGCCGGCTGACGTGGCTGCACGATGTCCGCCATGTGTGGAGGTGTTGCCTGCTCTTGGGGTCATTCTCCACTCTCCTGTGTGTTTGCTCTGCCGGGAACGTGCGTTGCTCGGTGTGTGCTGACGCGTGACGGACGGTGCCACGATGGCCTTCTCTGGAGATGACAGTTGCTGTACTCTCGGCACACATCCACAAGACTCTTTATTGTCTCTCTGTGGGAGTGATTGCGGCAGGGCATTGCTGCGGGCGTGACGGGGACCACGACGGCGTCACCCCTCGAGAGGATCCCACGCTCTGTCGGTTGTGGGGCGGCGAGGCGGTTTGCCTGCAGCCCGACTGACAACCGCACAGTCGTTTCATTGCGGTCACTTTGCCGGCATCACCCGCTGCGGTGGTTTCCGCAAGAGCCGCATCTCAGAAGTTCAAGCCGTTCCCCCTCAGGATTGCCCTTGCTGCTTGACTGGCGCAGCACCAGCGCGAAATGGCTCTTCTGCAGGAGAGCAGGCACCAGAGTGCCAGCGACGAGGCTCATTGTCTGCATTGACTTCCACCAGGCCTGCAGTGGGCGTGCCGGTGGCGTGGCCTTCGTTGTGCGCCACACCTTTCCGTGCGAGCGCCTGTCGCTCGTGGAACCAACTGCCTGGAGACCACCGCCTTCTGCGTGTGCCCACCGGCCAGCCCCAGCATGTACGTGGTGAATCTCTGCAGCCTTCCTACAGTAATTGCTCACGTTTCACACTTTGCGAGCGACATTCGTCGCCTTGGTCCTGCAGCACCTATTGCGGACGACCTGAATTCACACCATGAGCTCCGGGACGGTTGCTCACCATCCACGACGTCAGGAGAGGGCCTCGCCACCACCTCAAGCGGCATGGACTGTGTGCTTTCTGACGTCCCGGCACAGGCAACGCGGATTAGCGGCCGCAGCGTCTCGTTTCCCGACGTGACTGCGCAACGCGCACTGCGTTTCTCCCACTGTACTTCCACCTGTTTACATAGACTCGGACCACCATCTGCAATCCCACACTGCAGGGACGGAGGACGGCACCCCGCGATTGGCAGGCATGCTGCCACAACGGAAACATGTCGCCTTTGTCCTGCGTGATGCCGACTGGAATGCTTCCACCACGGCGTGTGGAACACCTCTGGCCACTGTGACCACATGGTTGGAAATGCACCGTACCGCGCGGCAGCCGTGACAGTCCCACAGGAATCACGACGGACGGAATGGAGCAGGCCGAGTGTGTTGCAGCGGCAGCCTGCCCCGAGCTGAAGTACTCCGCAAACGGGAGGGACGCAATCATGCCCTTCGCCGTGTTTTCATCGTGCCGCTAGCGGTCCGTGCGAAAAAGTCTGGTGCTCTCTCGATCCCAAGCCTGTGATGCTCCGAGGCATGGCGGCACCACGTCCCTGCCCTCTGTAATCGGCTGTGCTGCGGTGCTGTTGGGACCGCGTCTGTGCTCTGCCTCCGCCGTAACCTCTTCCTGACTTGAATACTGCCACTCCTTGCCGACCAGCAAGCGGCTGATGGACGTCCTCCTGCCCACTCCTCGGCTGACCGGCACGCGCCCTGCAGATCACAAGCAACCCTTATTTCGGTGCCGTCCCTCTCACACTGAAGAGGCAGGACCGCCCCGACCTCCTCCGGAACCTCCACCTGGCGTGTCCACGGCACCTCCTCGTGGAACGACGAGCAGCAGATCAACGTCGCCCTGCCCAAGCTGCAGCAGCGTCTTCTCGTCCGCCCATCATATGAAGGCACACGCCCGACGCACTAACCCTGAAACTCCAATCGTTGCAGAAGGCCTCACATGTGGATTCTGCGACAGCTCCACGGTCTCCCCAACAGGTGCCTCACGCGCAGGTCACTACCGAAAATGTCAGGCGTATCAACGAGCAAAAAACGGACAACGCACCTCTGCAAGCTCCAATGACAGCCGTAGCCCTTCAGCCACTCCTCTTCTGCAACCCCACCAGCCGCTGAGCCCCCGACAATCCACGGGAAGGCCTGCCGCACACGCTGTGGGAATGCCCCCGTCCCCGGCAACTGAGCATCTGACTATTTGGGAGCACACCCTTTCGCACGACAGCACCGTTCAAGACGGAAAAACTGGCCACATCGCTACGGGCAGCCTGCAGGCCATTAACGAGCAGTGGCAGCAAAGTATAACGAAACAAATACTTCCCTTTTATCAGCATAGAAAAACGTCATCTTCACACTCGCAATTGCCCCAATGAATTCATTGCGCAATGGCGCTCTGAGCTGCAATACTTCCTGGCATCATCCGGGTCCCTTGTCGACACATTGATGCGGGTGGGCGCCCATCCATTCCTCCCAATGACGGTGTACGACCGCACCCTCAGATCCAAAAGGCACGTCCCTCACCACAGCCGCGATCAACTTCGCCCTGTGGGCACGCATCGCCTTGTCAGAGGAGCAGGAGTACGTCAGGCTGGCAGCAAAGCACCCTCCAGCACAACACATCACAAACAGAAGCACCACCAGCACTGCAGACTGTGGGGTGACGTGGATCAACTGACACATGCTGTACGTAACAGAAAATACTTCATGGTTTGAAAAGAATAGGAAACACTGACAATATCTCAAAGGAAAAGAAAAAATGAAAAAGAGAATTTAGGCGTCCGCAGTCAAAGCAAAATACCAATCAAAAAAAAAAAGTAGTGGAAAAGGTGCTCTCAACCATAACACAAGACGAGTAAAACAATAAAACAAGCCGAAGCGTGGGACGACCAGCGCACACACACACTCATTACTCCCGTAAAGCAAAACACACACAGAGGGAGAGAGAGAGAGGTCGCCCACTCAATGCAATAAAAACAAAACAGAAACAGTTGCGGTGCTCCGCCCATGCAGCCAGGCAGGACGGCAGCGGTGCGTGTCGTGCAAAAGAGAGCACCAACGGGCCTGCATGGTGTGCATGCATATATA